AATACAATACAATACAATACAATAGCAGAGTTGGAAGGGACCTTGGAGGTCTTCCAGTCCAACCCACTGCCCTGGCAGGAAACCCTATACCGTTTCAGACAAATGGCTATCCAACATCTTCTTAAAGACTTCCAGTGTTGGGGCATTCACAACTTCTGTTCCACTGATTAATTTCTCCTCAGTTCTAAGTTGCTTCTCTCCTTGATTAGTTTCCATCCATTGCTTCTTGTTTTGTCCTCAGGTGCCTTGGAGAATAGTTTGACTCCCTCTTCTTTGTGAGCATGACCAGTAATTTAAAAAAACAGAAGACTACAAGTAGGCACCTTAGATCAGCTGATGGTCTACACGAGGCTTTGTATGGGATGCTAAGGATCATACACTCCAAAAGTGAGCATAGTCGAGTTTAGTTTGGGAGGCAGGTACCTTAAGAGTGTACAATCCATTTTGCCTCAAAGCCCACAAATGCAAATGGAGGGTTTTAATAGGAGAGCCCTGGGTTCAGCCTCGTGGCTCCAGAGATCATGTGCAATTCAGCAGAAGAAATGGGACTGATCAGCAAGGCTCCCTCAACGGATGGTTTTGTTTTTGCTTTTAGCATTCAGAGGAACTTATATGAGTGGCTTTGATGGAAAGTTCGGTGTCAAATTTTGCCACTTAATTCTATATAGTTCCATTATTCTGAAGGTCATAGAAAATCCTTAAAAACAATAGGAGCTCCAATGTGCATTTAAGATAATGGTGGATTGAGAAGGTGGCATGAATTAACAATACATCCCGTCCTCCTCTCCAAGACAAGATTGTTGTTTCAGAGATCTTCTATTTTTTTATACCCTAAGATTCTTCAAAATAAACAATACACAAATGTAACAATAGAGAATCAATTTGTGATTGCCCAAATTTTCCTTGTTTTAGAGATATAATTTAGGACATACTGTTACTGTGTTAAATGATCAGGAATCAGGCATTCCTGGTGCTACAAATCTGAAATCATCTGGTAGTAGAATCCTCTCTATCTACTTTATGTGTGTTCTATATTTTGAACAAGGAGTAAAGATGGAGAGAGAAGGGAAAGATTAATTTTGTAGAGTTTTTTTTCTTATAAATTGCCAAATATCCTTAATGCCACTATGATTTGGAGCCCCTAAAATCATTCACACTAGGGCCATCAGGACAGAATTGGAATCTATGATACTGACCGAGGCCAACTCGTTTTTCTCAGAAAGCCCCAAATTTTCAACAAATTTCCTAATTATATCACTCTATTTGCATCGTTAAGAGAAAGAAAGGGGGATGCTTAGGTATCAGAATGTTGTCTTTTGACTTTTCAGAATCTATTCAAGGTAGTACTATTATATGTGGACTGATAAAACTGGTTGAACATTTACATGGTAGCAAAGTGATCCCGAAAAATCTAATCCTTTGTTGTTCTTTGTGATGTTGTAATTATCTACAGTTTTGCAACCCAGATTTTTTAGCTGGTGCTAAGACAGTTCTAAAAACAGCATGATGCTAATTCAGTACCACTGTCCTTCTATTTGAGGATACAGTGAGATGAGGTTGAACCTTTAAACTGACCTCAAATGCCCTCCTCTTCTTCTCTTCTGGCAAATTATTTCAGATGTGCATCTTCATGCTAATTAGTTGCAGGTTTCTTAAAGTTTTAACACATTTTTCAGCTCTATAATCACACCAATTACTACAAACTCAGGACAATTAATGGAATAATAAGTATGGGATATCAATATTTTAGACAACAGGGAGAAAATAATCAATTCTCTAACCCTTGAGTTTCACTTAAGTGGTTTTTTTAAAAATTGCTAAGTACTTTTGGATTCAGGCGACATGGAAACCACAGTGGATTCTCCCATGAATATATAGAGATGATAGCACTAGCCTTATGCAGTAAATTAACTCTTCCCATCTCTGCTCAGGTATCTCCAATGCCATTTTTAATGGCCGAAGCAGTGCCATCTTTTATAGAAGCAATGGGAGGATCAGGAGAGATCTCACTAATATAACCTTTGGTTTTCGGACTCGAGACTCAGATGTGACACTTCTTTATGCCGAGAAGGAGCCAGAGTTCTTCTCTGTCAGTATTCAGGATGCCACATTGTTCTTCCAGCTGCAAAGTGGCAATAGTTTTTTCACCTTGAGCCTGGCTAGTTCCCTATCACTGAATGATGGGAACTGGCACAAGGTCACCTACTCTATGATAGAGCCACTGTCTCAGTCATCAAAATGGCGTATTGACATAAATGATGAGAGAGACCATGCTACAAGTACTGTTGCCACTGGAAACCTTAACTTCCTCAGAGAAGGCACAGATGTCTATCTGGCTGACAAAGCTTTTGATAAAGAAGATGGGCTGAGAGGGTGCATGAGCACCGTAGAGATTGGTGGAATTCATCTCTCCTACTTCGACAATATTAAAAAACCACAAGAAGAGCAGTTTCTCAAGGTCTCTGCCAATTCTGTCGTCACTGGTTGCCTTAAGCTGGATGCCTGTCGCTCAAATCCTTGCTTGAATGACGGGCTGTGTGAAGATTTTTACAGCTATTTTCGCTGCAGATGTGCCAAGGGATGGACTGGATCTCAATGTGAACTCAGTGTGGATGAATGCTCTTCAAACCCTTGTCTCCATGGAAATTGCACTGACGGGATATCGGCTTACAAGTGTGTATGTGATCCTGGATACAGAGGAACGAGGTGTGAAGAAGACATAGATGAGTGTCTTGGACATTTCTGTGAAAATGGAGCCACGTGTGTAGATGGCATTAATGGTTATTCATGCCTCTGCGCTGGGAATTTCACTGGAAGATTTTGCAGGTATGGTAACAAACCTTTGATAAAGATAGTCATTCACTACGAGTAGTTAGAGATGCAGTTTGATGTAGTGGTTAAGGCACAAGATCAGGACCTGGGAAATTGTTCTAGTCTCATCTTAAGATACAAGCCAGCTTGGTGATTTTGGGTCAGCCACTCTCTCTCAGCCCTAGGAAAAAGCCAGTGCAAAGCACGTTTGAAAGCTTGCCACGAAAAGGGCAGGTCCAGACAGTTGCCAAGAGTCAGTACTTACTCAAAAAGAAAAAAAAATAGAATGTGTGGCAAAGCCTTTTAATATAGAAACAGGAATAGATCCTAACTTTCACATACCTATAATAACTACAGTTCATGGGGGCGATTTGGCACGGAGAAATAATCAAAAATAGGGAGAGGAGGAAAGAAATAAATCACCACATTGAGACTCCAGAGCTCAAAATAGCCCCCATCCTCGAATGGTTCTTCACTGACAAACAAATAGCCATTGAGTTTTAATATTACATTTAATGCATTATCTAAAATGCAAACAGTTACAGTATTTAAGACTTTTCCAAAACTCTTATTCTGATATGTTTTCTTTCATTTTCTTTCCTTTTTATCCTTGTCCCCGAGAGTGAGTTAGGTGGCCATATAAATTTTCTTAAATAAAATAAATAATCCGTCTTGGCAATTAGATACACTATCAAAAGAATAATCTTAAGCAAATATATCAGAAAAAAATGGGTGATGGGGATTGG